CCTCAAAACCAAGGGATACTTCAAGTAGCATAGAAGGTCGCTCTCTTCTTATTTTGCTAAATCCAACTTGCTCTGAGGCCTCCTGCAAGCCCCAGCTCTGAGCCTGCAGCGTCGGACTGCAGCGAGCCCGGGCAGAGCACGGCCTGCGGCAGCCCACGGACTGGCATTACCCATGCTATTTACGCTTGTGTCCGCCCAGGCTTCCACCCAGCCACATAAATTATAAATGCATCTGTCAACCCACGGGAAACCTGAATGCACATGCCACAAAAGGGAGAATTTAAATTCAATTTAAATTAAATGATTTCCACAGATGAGTTAATAAGGGTTTAAACCTCTGGCATATCTGACATGAAAAGGAGAGGCTATGTATGAGAATGGTAACTCGTTCTGTGAGAAGTAACACCCCTTTAGGGAATTTTCTCAGCAGTCACACTTAGGTATCTAATGCCGACAATAGGCATCTCATAGCATTTCTGTAAACTATCTTCCTAGCTCAAAACAACCCCACTTAGATCAGAGGGTCAGTAAACGTTCCCTGAAGTACCAGAAAGTTAAATATTTGAGCCTTTGTGAGCCATGTGGTCTTTGTCACAAGGACAAGACGCTGCAGTAGTAGCAGAAAACAGCCACAAGCAAGTACATGAATCAATGAGCGTGGCCACGTCCCAATAAAACTTGATTTATGGACATGGAAATTTGAATTTCACAAAATTTTCACATCATGAAATCTTCCTCTTCTTTTGATTTTTTTTCAATCATTGTTACCTTGTGGGCCAAACAGAACAGGAAGCTGGCTGGATCTGGCCATCAGCCCGTAGTTTGCTCACCCCTGATGTAGACGGGTGAATAATCAACATGGTGGCTGTCACGGCAATAACTAAAGTGACACAGGGTTCGGGGAAAGGCCATATTCTGGGGTTGTATTAATATTAATCATGTTTTTTTTAAGTTTTCTGTATCTTGTGATGTTCTGACATCTTAAAAATCTTGCCATTAGAGGAGAGACTGACCCTCCCAGGGCTGGCTCATTCTGGGCGACAGCAAAGGCCTGGGCCCAGGAGTTTGCCTAACAAACGCAGGGAACACACCCCCAACCCTCCCCTTAGTGCCGAAGTCTCGCACACCACAGAAATACAGACATATTCCTAAGTCATCCTGTTACAGCAAGATTGCCGGGAACAGACCAAGAGGCGCCCTGAAGTGCAGCAGAACAGGTTTAATTACGCCGGCGGGCTCAGGGGACTCGCCACCAAATTCTGAGCCCTGAACAAAGAGTGTAACGGTCTTTTATACACTTTGTTTAGGGAGGGGACGGGGCGCAGGTGACAGTTGCAATGTGGTTATCTTCAGCAGGGCCAGGATCAGCCACCTCGGTTCCTGGCACGGGAGTTGCCGTGAGCAGTTTACGGAAGCGGGAGAGGGACAGCTATTGGGGGGATAACAGGGGTGCAGACTCACCAGTGGCATTTCCCACTTCGATCCCAGGGCCCGGTACCAGGCAAGCAGAGACCGTTCCACCTGCAGCCCAGAGCCCACCGGAATCATCCAGACCGGCCCTGCCCCGCCCTTCCTGCGGGAAACTCGGCCAAGGCCACGGCCTCCTGACTGCCCCTGGTGCTTCCCCTGCGGTCCCTTCTCTCCGGAAACGTGAGTAATGATCTTTCCACGGCGTTGGCCTCTCTGCGCATCACTCAGCTACTCCTGTGAGTTAAAATCTCCTGCTACGAACGCGGCGGGAGAGCCTCGCTGCTGCTCTCTCTGCGCCGTCCACACACGGGCAGCTGCAGCCACACCTGGGCTCCGCCCCAGACCCTCAGAGTCAAACCTGCATGTGAACAAGACCCCCAGGTCCTTTGCAAGGAGATTGACATCTGAGATACCTCGGTGGTGTGGTTCAAAGCCCGGGCTCTGAAATTAGAAGGCCCAGAGTGCAACTCTTTGTACCTCTCATTAGCTAGGTGGCCTTGGACAGATGATTATTATTATACACCTGTTTCCACACCTAGTAAGTGGGGATGATGATGACGTGATCTACGCCAAACACTCAGAGAGTGCCTGGCACCTATTTATTAGACACTTGCTATTATTCAAAGAAAGGCTGGTGCACACACTCCTAAGGCAACGTCCTCCAGGACAGACAAGTTTTTAGATGGTCCCTTGAGCTGATCTACAGTGACTACAGCCCACCCACCCAACAGTTCCATCCGTGAAAGAAAACAACGGCGCCACAACTGCTGGCTGCAAAGTGTAAACTATATTGATGATGGGAAAGGGACAGCCTGCAGCTACTTTAGTTCTGCCGAGATGCCGTGAGCACGCACACACACGCTCTGGGTTTGGGACCAAGTTATTAAGTTGTCAGATACATCTCTGTTTTGAACATGGTGCTTTTGTTTTTTTTTTTTCCATTAGCATGGATTTCTACTCTACAGTTTCTCCTAGAGCAAATAAATATAATGGCTGTTTGCAGAGCGACTCCAGGCTTAGTTAGATGTGTAGCAAGGTGAACTGTTTCACAATTAGAGCAACCACTAACAGCAAGGTGTTTTCCATTTGTTTCATTCACTGCTATCGTGGGGTGGGGGGTGGGTGGGTGGTAGCGTTTCCAATTTATTCTTTGTCGACATGTTGAGTCACCAACAGACTCCAAAAAGTAATGAAAAATAACAGTCAGTTAAAAAAATTAAACTGTAATTACGCCGTGGGGTTTTTCCCG